ATGCATTGTATATGGTTCTATATAGAACCTTTTTGAAAATTATTCAATTTAGTACCAAAAAGAATTCTTCTATTGTTACCAACTTGACATTGTTAGCAGAATAGCAGAATGTTTTTTGTTGTTATATAGAAGTATTTTCAAAAGGTTCCTTAAAGAACCAATGACAACACATTCTTAATCAATCTGAAGGACCATGCAAAGAACCATTTAAAATGCAAATTGTTCTGTAAAGAACACAAGGTTCTAAATAATACTTTAAGGTTCTTTAATAATACTTTTAACCCTTTAAGAACCATCTTTTGATTTGATTTAATTTGATCAGATTTTTTAAAGGTGTAGTTACAGGTGTAGTAATTTTGTTTATATTAAGTAGAAGTAAATGTTTTCTGCGACCACACTGCACCCTGCACGTTTATTTCCGGGTAATTTGGGTGAAATACGACCCCTTATTCTACTGCTGTTCATTTGTTGTTTGATTTTATGATTAGTTTGTGAAACTGTAAAATTAAGCTATTTTTTGACTTTCCCCCTGACAATAACAGAATCAAAAACGAGAATCAACCCAGTTTTTGTTTAGTTTTTCAGTACTGGGTTTTGAAACGGACCTTTTACTCACGCAAGTTTAAACTTTCCTTTCACTTTAACCGGAAATAAACGTGCAGAGTGCAGAGCGCAGAGTGCAGGTCGCAGAAGCTGTTGTTCTGGACTATGTTAGGCTTTTATGGGTGTTTGTATATTTGACCTCCACAGCTTTGCTCTGTCTGTAAAACAACGACATGAGGGAGAAACTGGACTCCCTCTGTTTAACGGGGGGCTTCGCGCTCTTAAAGCCACATTAAGAAGTTTATCAGTGCAGAACTCCGACTCTTCTTCACGTGCACGCGCGTCACGCGGGCAGACGGACACTAGATTAAACTCAGGATTTCGGTGGTTTCTGTGTGTAAATAACAGTTAATCCTCACTTTCCTTCACAACAAACAGCACAACAGGACCTAAAGTCGAACACAGAGCAGCACCTACGGAGCTTTTTCCTCTGTCTGTTTTAACAGGTGTGAACTGACCACCTGTACTTGGTCCGCACTAAACAAATAAACGGTGGTCCGGCAAAAATCGCGGGTATCCGTTCCAAATGAGTTTAGTTCGCTGCTGGTGGGAACGCGTTTTTGTGATGGTCCGCACGAACAGCAGAGCATCATCACGTTTTCCTACAGCAGCTCATCAGTCAGTCTGTCTGTTTAACATCTTTACAGACGTCTGAGTCTTTACATACGTTCATGTCGCTCCTGCAGCACCAGCTGCTAATAATAACAGACCAGCAATAAAATAAATACAATCATAGCGAAGCACCGCACACGGAGTTCATTAGAGACCTGATTGGTTACGTTTAAACTGACAAGCCAGTCATAAAGAAGCAGATCCAAAGTCAGGTTTATTGTTGTTGCTGTGACTGATACACGTAGACGTTAAACGAAACAGCCCAGCTCTACATTAAGCGCATCTAAAGCTCTTTTACCCCCAAAACCGGAGCCAGTATCAGCCGACACGATGTAATAAGACCACTATGAACATCACATGAACAATGACATACAACACAGTTCACCTCTGACCACTTCACATTTCAGTATTCCTATTTCTCCTCATTATTGGGCAGCTTGACTTTCATTTCTCTTTTATTTCACTGTTAAATGGCAGGAGTCCAGTACGGGAGTCTCTTCTACAAATCAATTCAGTTTTTTGCCAATAGACCAAATTTAAATATACAAACACCAATAAAACATCATACAGCCTCCCATGTAAGGGACAATGCCGACAGTCAATATTGAACGCTCGTTATCTTCGGGCCCTCAGGCAGCACTGCATTGAAAACATGATTCTGTATTGGAAATCACTGCACAGGCTCAGGGAAACTTCCAGAAATCATTGTCTGTAAACAGAGTTCACAGTGCAATCCAGAAATGCAAGTTAAAGCTGTATCATGCAAAGAAGAAACCATATGTCAACACGATCCAGAAATGCCACCGTCTTCTCTGGGCCAAAGCTCATTTAAAATGGACTGAGGCAAAATGAAAAACTGTTCTGTGGTCAGATGAATCAAAATTTGAAATTCTTTTTGGAAACATGGACACCACGACCTGCGGACTCAAGAGGAGAGGGACCATCCAGCTTGTTATCAGTGCACAGTTCAAAAGCCTGCGTCTATACATATATATATATATATATATATATATATATATATATATATATATATATATATGAGAGAGAGAGAGAGAGAGAGAGAAAGAGGTTTTAGAAAAACATATGCACCCATCCAAACAACGTCTCTTTCAGAGAAAGCCTTGTATATTTCAGCAATACAACGCTAAACCACACACTGCATCCCTCACAACAGCATGGCTTCAGAGAAAAAGAGTCCGGGTGCTGAGCTGGCCTGCCTGCAGTCCAGACCTTTCACCAATAGAAAACATTTGGCACAAAGAAGCCTGTAGGCATTTGGCACAAATTTGTGGGCTTCTTTGTGGAGAACCAACAGCATATTAGGTAGGTGGGCATAATATTTTGGCTCATTGGTGAAAATCAAAAAACAGATAATTACAGGAGACGATGCTGTGTATGGTACATTATATTAATATTTGTAACTTTTTAAATATAATTCAGACACTTTCTTCCCAACTTTTACATTGATTTGAAGTAAAAAAAAAAACAGAAAGGGTCTGATTTTAGGCCAAATAGCACACATACACTGTATGATGTGATGTTAGCTGTGTATTTCTTCCAGAGGGGTAGGTGGGTGTTTCAGCCTACTTTTAGATGTTCACATTAAATGAAGTGCTTTGCTTAAAAATAGCTTAGTAGTTTTTAAGATAAAAATGAGACAGTTATCAATTTCAACCAAGACTCAAGTTTTGAAATCAGTATTGGAAAAAAAGTACTATTGTGGAGTGGAGTTGTTCTATCTCTAGTTTCATCTGACAGATGGTATGCTTTTAAATGATATTTCATATTAGTGATTGCTAATGGGTGAAACAAGAAGGACAGTCATGATTTCTTATTTATAATCTAGCATAATTAGATAATTAGTTGATTATTTAGCAGAGAACAGAAAAACTCACACACAAAAATTCAATATATCTTTGGTCTGTGAGTAAAATGTTTGTGCACTTTGTCCACCAAACTCACAGTCTCAGAGGCCTGAGAACAGAGAGGAGTTAGAGATGTGTTTGTGGTCTGACTTTTATTATAGTAAAACTGCAGTAATGACATCAACCAAACGAGGACCTGAAACCCAGTAATGTTTTTAAGCCACAATTTACATAAAGCTATAATGTCATATTTCTTACAAGATCGTTTTTTATTTTATTTTTATAACCATAGTGATCATGTCCTTCCTAGGCAGACTTGTAATGCTGGGTCTCACTGCTTTGGTGTCTTTGCCCCAGAGAGGTGGACTGAACTTTCCCCTGGACTCTGCACTGCAGTCAGTTCTCACGCTCAGTTCTTTCCTCTGTGGTCAGAAGACTCGTATCTTCAGGTGTTATCTATTTTAACACCTTTCTGCTCTCATTCACACCTCAAAGATGTGCAAGACACCCATACCCCCCCCCCGACCATGAAAAACCCTGGTGTTTGAACTTTATCAACAGTCTTTGACCCAGAGAACACAACATTCATTATTTCCATAAACAGTCTGAAAGTTTAACTAGTTAAGCTACAATATTGTACATCAGTCCATTTCAGATGAGCTCGAGTCTAGAGACATTGGCAGCCTTATTAGACATTGTTGAAAAATGACTTTTACTACACATAGTAAACATGCAGATGCAGCAACAGACGGTGCTCACTAAGAACGGTTTGTTAAAATATTTCTGAGCCCATTTTGTGATCTCCATCACAGAAGTATTTCAGTTTTATTGCAGTGCCATCTGATGGGTTAAAAGTCATGGATTATCAGCTGTGGTTTTTGGCCTTTCCTGGATGCTCATTTTATATCCATGCATGACTGCATCACCTGCTTAAGATGGTTTTTGAACATTTCACATTTCACCTAGTCTTAAAATGCCCCATCACACTTTTTTTGAAACATACTGCAGGCATCAATTTCAGAATGAGTGTATGTTTAAAAAACAAACAGTAAAGATAATAATCTTCTCTTTGTACTGTTCATGAAATTCTACTGACTGCAGAACTAGACTGTGTAATTTTAAACAGTGACCTCAGTGAACACAACACTAATGTTAGTAAAACAGTGTATTATCACCTCTGCAGTCTCCAACCTTCATTATATTCTCTCCACTGCTGACAGTGAAAGACTTCATGCCTCTGTCTCTTCTAGACTGAATTACTGCAGCACTGGCTAATCTGGCTGACTCAAGAGTTCAGAATGATCTGTATTAAACATAATCTGTCATTTGTAATTAAAAGCATTTAAAAAGATTCTTATTTAATATGACATTTAAATTTAAATAAATTAAATAATGCCACATAGGGCTATATTTTATTTTTAGTCAGGTTTATTTTTCTTTATATTTTGTATATTTATATATGTTTTATGATCTTTTATCAGATAGTTGTTTTTAATTCAGGCACAGAAAAAGCAACAACTCTTTTAAACTTGCTATAACAAAACATTTCAGGATTATGTTTCAAAGTACTTAACATGAAGATGCCACTTAAAGGCCTCTTATGATGAGCAAAGACTTCTTGTATTAAAACTGTCTCAATAATCCTAAAGACGAGTGACTTGATCATTTACCAAAATCAGATTTGAGAAAAATTTAAATCAAGCTAAAAGCTATAAAGCTACAGGAAAAGGGCTGTGTGCACAGACTCTCTCTCTCTCTGTTGATCTCGCTCTCTCTCTGTCGCCATGTCTCTCTCTCTCTCTCTCTTCTCTCTCTCGCTGTCTCTCTCTCTCTCTCGCTGTCTCTCTCTCTCTCTCTCTCTCATGTGCTTTGTCTATGAGTAAAAAGGAAGTGTTTAGGTCATTGTTCAGTCAGTCATTACTGGGGCAGTATGGAGCTCAGTCTGCTCTCTCTGATGATCTGTGAGTAGAGATTCTCTTTATATTGCTGTTGTTAATTAGATTTCAATGTTTATTGTTTTCACTGTAATTATTATATACAGAAGAATAGCATTAATCTATCTGATAACAGAGGGATGAGTGATTCTTCAACAGTCCTGTTAGTTCTAGCTATTAACAGGTAAGTGTGAGGTACAAATGTGGAAGTTGTGAAGAATGAAACCCTGTTGAGTTTTTGTAGCCCAGGAATCTGCATTTTGTTTGTACATCTTGTCCAGTATACGGGGCATCACTAGAGCTTTATGGATAGGGGGGCTAAGCCTTTACTTGGCACACACTAACCTTTATCAGACCTGCTTCTTCAGCTCTTTCAGTCTCCTCCAGCTTTTTTCTCTCCGTCTCCCTGCCTGTGTTTAGTAAGGTGTTGTTAGCTATAGGTAGATATTTTCACTCTGTTAATACTTACTGATTCAGACTGTGTATTATATACTTTGAATGAGGCCTAAAGCCCCCCAAAACTGGCCAACAAAACTCACACTATATTTCACTGTAATATCATAAGTTTAAGCATGAGAGTAAAGTATCCTGGAAGTATCAGGCTAGTTATATTGCATAAAACGATGTACAAAGTACAAAGATAGACCAGTAAAACCACATTAAGAATCACTTCTTTCCTTTAAAGCTAGATTTAGTTTGTAGGTCATAGACAGATACACACCATGTTAAACTTTTTGTACTTTATTGATTTACATTTTTTTACACACACACACGCACACACACACACATATATATATATATATATATATATATATATATATATATATATGTGTGTATGCCTATGCCTGTTTTTTGAACATGTCTTTGGAAAATCCTCTAAACAGCAAAGTCTCTTTTGATTATTGTACCGTGAGCATCTGACTGATTCTGTCCTGTTACACGTATCATTGCATTCTGTTTTTATTAACAGTATTGTCTGTTAAGACTTGTCAGCTTTACCTAATATTTGTCAGTAAAACTCTAGTATTTCTCTTGGCTCTGTATGTTTGCATGTTGGGTTTGTCTTTCCAACTTGTTTAATCTAACATCTGTGTGTTGTAGTTCTCTTCAGTGTACTTTCCCCTGGGTGTCTGCCTGTTTGCTATAGTCCCTCTAATCTCAGTGAACACTGATTTTGCACACAGTGTTAAATCTTGAGAACCATGTTGAACTTTAGAAGTTGGTTTAGAGCAGAATTGATTTAAATTGTTTGATGTTGTTTTCCTTAATTAAAGTATGTTGTAATATAATATTAAGTAGATATTGTCATGTTAGTGTGTAAAGGATTCACTGCATATTGAGTGAAATACTCAATTACCTCCACTGTAGTAGCCAAACACATCAAATCAAATCAAATCAAATTTATTTGTATAGCACTTTTTACAACTGATGTTGTCACAAAGCAGCTTCACAGAAATCTGTTTAAAACAAAGTTTCAACATGAAATGTAAATCCTCCAGGTGAGCAAGCCAGGGGCGACAGTGGCAAGGAAAAACTCCCTCAGAGCTGAGGAAGAAACCTTGGGAGGAACCAAGGCTCACATGGGGGGACCCATCCTCCTCTGGTCAAACTACGTACAAAATTATTATTCTACTAATATTAATAGTAGTAGTAGTAGTAATAGTTAGGAGGTAGTAATAGTTAGGAGGTAGTAATAGTTAGGAGACTTCAGCGTAGAGTGGGCAGCCAGTCCAAGGCAGGTGGTGGTGACTGGGTTGTGGGTAACTGGTCTGAAGCGGGTAGCCGGAGAGCTCTACAAACAATCATCCAGCAGTGTCCGGCCGGACAGGTGGGCAGTCGTTTTCTCAGAGGAAAGGTAGGGAAATGGAGTTAGTTTAGTTCTGTATGGGTGTATGTATAGTACTATGTAAAACATTTCCAGAGTGTGGCTAATGACTCCGGCAGATCTGACTATAACAGCTTAACTAAAAGGAGAGAACCAAAAGGGCACACAGACACGGGAGCACCCTGAAACAATTTGGCATCCCTCCGCTCCACCTTCCACAAACCTGAGTGTTCGCGTGCGAGCGGTGGGACGACAGCACCAGCGTCTCAGTTTACTATAATTCCCTGTGTCCATGGACCCCTGGATCTGCTGCCTTTATCTAAGGGGAAACATTAGCTACCAAAAGCTAAACTAAACAAGTGAGTTTTCAGCCTAGATTTGAATATTGCGACTGAGTCTGAGTCCCGAACATTTTCTGGAAGATCATTCCAGAGTTTGGGGGCTTTATAAGAAAAGGCTCTTCCCCCAGATGAAACCTTCTGAATTCTGGGAACTATTAAAAAGCCAGCACTCTGTGATCTGAGTAATCGTGGTGGCTCGTAATGGGAAATAAGGTCTTGCAGGTACTCAGGAGCGAGCCCATGTAGGGCTTTATACGTCAATAAAAGAATTTTGTAATCAATACGGAATTTAACAGGCAGCCAATGGAGTGATGATAGAACTGGACTGATATGATCAAATTTTCTAGTTTTAGTGAGAACCCTGGCTGCAGCATTTTGAACAAGTTGAATTTACTTAAATTCCTGCTGGTGCATCCTGATAGTAGTGCATTACAGTAATCTAGCCTTGTGGTAATAAAGGCATGTACTAATGTTTCTGCATCACGCAGTGATGAGGCATTTCTTATTCTGGCGATATTGCGAAGCTGTACAAAAGCTGTCCTAGTGATGCTGCCTATGTGTTGATCGAATGATAAATCTGGATCGAGTATTACACCAAGATTTTTTGCTGCTGAACCTGGTATAACTGGAAAGTCAGCGAGATTTAAAGTTAAATCTGATAATTTATTTCTTGCCACTTTTGGACCCAGAAGGAGAACCTCTGTTTTGTTACTGTTTAGGAGGAGGAAGTTACGCGACATCCAACCCTTCACATCTTTTACACAGTCCTCTATTTTCTTTAGCCTGTATTTGTCATCAGGCTTGGCTGATATGTATAATTGCGTATCGTCTGCGTAACAGTGAAAGTTAATGCCATGGCTGCTTATAACTGTGCCTAACGGCAACATGTATAATGTAAATAATAATGGTCCTAAAATAGAGCCTTGCGGAATTCCAGATCTTACTTGTGAATAATTGGAAGATAAGTCATTTACCTGTACGAACTAATAACGTAAGATTTGAACCACGATAGGGCTGTCCCTGTGATTCCAACCATGTTTTCTAACCTTTCTAGGAGAATATTGTGGTCTATCGTATCGAAAGCTGCACTGAGGTCAAGTAGCACCAACAGGGATATGTAGCCTTGATCAGAGGCAAGAAGAAGATCATTTGTTATCTTAACTAGAGCTGTCTCAGTGCTGTGATGTGGCCTGAATCCAGATTGGAATTTCTCAAATATGTGGTTCTTATGTAGATATGAACTAAGTTGTTGGGCTACGGCTTTTTCTAAGATCTTAGATATAAATGGCAGGTTAGATATAGGCCTGTAATTAGACAATACACTAGCGTCAAGGTTTGGTTTCTTGATCAGAGGCTTAATAACTGCTAGTTTAAAAGCTCTGGGTACATGGCCCAGGCTAAGGGACGAGTTTACTATAGTTAAAAGAGGATTAATGATAACTGGTAGCACTTCTTTGAGTAATTTTGAGGGGATTGCATCAAGTGTGCAGGTTGTACAATTTGCAGAGGAGATAATCTTCTCTAGTTCTAGCTGTGGGAGTGGGTAGAAATTTTCAAGCCTTTCTTCTGCAGCTATGTTATGTTTTATATCAGCCATGTCAGATGACAGCCAAGCCACATCCTTTGAGATGTGCTAACGTCACGTGCTCTACAGGAAGGTACGTGTTTTTAAAGAACAGAACAGTTAGTCTATGGTTATAACTATAGTTACATAGCCTGTTAAGTACAACCCCAATTCCAAAAAAGTTGGGACACTGTGTAAAATGTAAATAAATGTAAATAAAAACAGAATGCAATGATTGATGCAATGAATGGGCATCTCACAGACCCATATTTTATTCACTTTTGTGAGATGTGTTGCTGCCACAAGTTTTAAATGAGTTAATATTTTTCATGAAGTGGTAAAATCTCTAACTTTCAACATCTGATGTGTGTTCTATGTTCCATTGTGAATAAAATATGGGTCTATGAGATTTGCAACTCATTGTATTCTGTTTTTATTTAAATGTGTTTACATTGTACACAGCATCCCAACTTTTCTGGAATTGGGGTTATAGAAATAATTGAGTTAGGTCAACTTATATGGCAGAATTTGTTAAAACTTAGTGGATTTAAGTTACTGTGACATGATTCCCATAAATTACAGTAACTTAATTGTATTAAGTTAGTGTAATTATTATATAAAGTCTAAAATAATTTAACCCTTAGACACCTACATTTTTTTTATTTTTTTTGGTATTTTGGGTCAATTACAATTACAATTGCAATTATAAATTAATTACATGTGACAGTCTCACATGCCATATGCTGTTATTTTCAGGAGACCCTGGTCTAATCAGATATGCCATTTTTTGACATGTAAATTCTAACAGAAATCTGATATCTTTATGAATTTGGGTAATTTTTGATCAAAATTAAAAAATAAAAAAAAATTAAAAACAAATGCTGAATAAGTACCTTTACATTAATTATTTATCAAAGTTACATTTGATTGACTCCTTTCACTTATAAAGCAATAGAGCATTAGGTGAATGTAGTCCACTTTACCTGATGTCCCACTTTATTTTGCTGTACCCACCCTACAATGTAAAAAGTGGCTTGTCAGATCTACTTACCTCATGTGGTGACAGGTAATTGAACTAATTTTACTCAACTCAAAAAAATATTGAAAGAATCGTTCCTTCTAAAGTATTTATTTAGATTGAATAAAACTTGTTAATTTACTTGTTACCACATGAAGTAATTTCTTAAGTAGATCTGACGAGCCACTTTCTACAGGGCAGATGCGAATTTCATGACTATTCAGTTTTAAAAAAGAATTATTAATATCATATGTCAGAGTATTTAAATATTTTAAATATTAAATATTTATTAACACTGTAAAAAGTGGCTCGTCAGATCTACTTAAAAATTACTTCATGTTGTAACAAGTGAATTAACTAGTTTTATTCAATCTAAATAAATACATTTAACGATTCTTTAAATCAATGTAGTTTTTTTTAGTTGAATAAAATTTGTTCAATTGCTTGTCACCACATTAAGTAATTTTTTTACAGTGCAGTACCATTTGTGTTGAGAAATATCTGTGAGACTGCAGTCAAAATTAGTAGATGATGTAGTTGTCGGAATATGAAAAGTGACCAACAGCATGTTATACTTGAATTAAAATCAGTTCCTCAAACTTAAAAAAAAAGAATAAAACTAAATCAGTTACTTGTTACCACATGAAGTCATTTTTAGATTGATCTGATGAGCCATTTCTTATAGGGTAACAAAACACTGTCAGGCTGTTTCTCCAGTGCATGACTAAAAAACAGATAATAAAAAGCACAATAATTCAAAGATAATAGAATAGAATAGAATAAAATAGAACAGAAGGATAATACACTGTAAAAAATGGCTCATCAGGTCCACCTAAAAAAATTACTTCATGTGGTAACAAGTCAATTAACTAGTTTTATTCATCCTAAAAAAATACATTGAATGAACGATTCTTTCAGTCAGTGTAGTTTTTTTAAGCTGAATAAAACTAGTTCAATTGCTTGTGACTACATGAAGCAATTTTTTTAGGTAGATCTGACGAGCGATTTTTTACAGTGTAACTATGTCAGAAAGTAGAGGTAGAACTTAAACTAAAAACTATAGTTACTATAATATAATAAATAAACTATAATAACTATGTAGTCTTTGAGCAATTTACAGTTAAGGTGTATTTAATTTGACGTGTACAGTATGTTGAGGTAAACCAGGTCAGATGTGCAAATTATAAGTGTTTGTAAAGAGCATCACATTATATTCAAAGTGTACAGTGCAGGAAAATGAGCATTAGCAGCTTAATGTTCACGCATACAGCTTACAGCATGAACATTCAAGTATAGAAAGTATACAGTTTAAATGTCTTAGAGCGTTCCAGTTAAAAGTGACATGTTTACACACTGTAAAAAGTGTCTCGTCAGATCTACCTAAAAAAATTACAGAGATTGGCAGAGGTTGAAACAGGGAGGGTGGGGTGTGTGGGCTCAGTTGATATGTTGCTGGATCACGTTGTAGATGCCCAACAAGTATGGGTGGGAGGGCTGCTGCAGTGAAGTGCTGGGCAGTTTTCACCACCTTCTGCAGTGTCTTATGCCCAGTCAGGATGCTCTTTACAGTGGACCTGTAGACGTTGCAGAGGAACTGTTGTAGCAGGTTGACTCTCCTCATCCTTCAGAGGAAGTGGAGGTGAAGTTGGGCCTTTTAGACAATGTGTGATGTGTTGACTGACCAGGTATTATGTGACTACATGGACACTGAGGAACTCCTTGGTTTTGCTAACACTGAGGGAGAGGTTGTTGATGGTGCACCACTCTGTAAGGAGCTTCACTTCCTCCCTATACATCATTGTTGATGTTGCCAATTAGTGTTGTGTCATGGGCAAATCTGAGGGCATTGGAACTGTTTTTTTGCGATGCAGTCATGGGTGTACAGCACGTAGAGCATGGGTCAAAGCTGCGCGCTTGTCCTGTGCTGAATGTGAGGGAGGAGTATATATGTTGTCATCTTAACAGACTGTGGTCTGCAGGTAAGGAGGTCCATAATCCAGTTGCACAATGTGTGACTACTAGTAAGACTGCTCTTTATATGAGCTAAGATCAGTCTCTTGAAGCACTTCATTGCTCTTCTGACCTTATCTATAGCTAGTATGAGTGCTCACTCCTCTGTGGAGGGGGTCAGGGCAGTGGTAGTTGGTAGCTGAGCCTGAGCAGTGATAGAACAGGTATAGAAAGTCTTCAGTTCAGCAGGGAAGGAAGCGTCTGTGGTCGCTGAGTTACTGACTTTGCTGTTATAGTCAATGATTGCTTGGATTCCTTGCCATATGTCTTGGGGATCTGAGCTGGCAGTGAAATAGGCTACAGTTTGTTTGCCATACCTGTGTTTTACAGCCCTGATTCCAGCCTTTAGGTTGTGTCTGACAGCTTTAAGTTCTTCACTGTTGCCAGATTTGAAGGCTGAATCATGTGCTTTCAGCAAACTGCAGAGTCTGTTTAACCAGGTTTGAAATTGTTACATTTTGCCCAGCGTTAGGTTGAGCGCCACTCTTGCCCAGACTGGTTTAAGGTCAGATATGATAGTTTAGTTGACTTGCTCTTCTGATAAACAGACTTGTGATTTTAACTGTTCATTATTCATTATTCTTGTAAAATAATCTAATACTTCACAATAATGCATCATGTTCTCTGTTTCTCTCCTACTTTAGGGCTGATTGTGCTCATCCACTGTGAACAAACTCCAGGTGAATCATTACATGAACATCTACTGGATTAGTTAATTAGCTCTCATGTACACCTGCATACACATCTTATTCTTCACATTTAATACACAAGTAATACCACAGTTAGCTATGAGAACACTGAGGTCTGGACCTTGGTAGTTTCTGAAGGTTTGTTTTTTCCCCACATAACTTCAAATATGATGTAGAAACAGCTCTATGATGTGTTGGCAGAGTGTAGCCTACTTTGAAATGCTTCTTTGATTTAACTACACCGTAAAAAAAGGCTCGTCAGAACAATCTAAAAAAAAATTATTCATGTGGTAACAAAGAAATCAACTTAGGGGAAGAGTTATGAACATTTTGTACCATCACCAACCTTATTTTGCTGTTGTGATTTATGAAAAAGGACAAACGCACCTATAATGAGATGAAAAGGACAGTCATTACTATTTTGCACTTTTCCCTCATTTCACATGCAATTAAAGGAGTTTTCATCAGAAAGCACAAAATACTGGAAGGAGATAATTATTATTATGAAGTACTAATTCAGATTCACTAAGGCTGATAGTAAATACTGAGTGTGCGCTGGTTAAAGCTGGATTATTTTTGGCACTAACATGTCTGCCGTTGTCGTTACTGAGAGACAGAGAAAAGAGATTTTATCACAAACATTTATTTATTTTCTTAAATAAAATATTACTTTATTCGTTGAAGAAATCAAATATGAAAATTTTGTGGACACTTGAAATGTTATATTATTAAAAACCTTCCAGTAAAACAGATATTAGACATTTCCTAATTCTATAGGTATATTTCGTCTTAATTGAACAGTTTGGCGATCAATCATATTAACATGATTCATCACTTACTCCAGATGCAGGCGATAGCCAAGACATGTTTGGTATCTAAAGTTTGCTTCTTTATTTTACAATGGGAGATGCTAGGCTAACGTTGCTAACAAACACTGAACTTAGACTGTCACCAATCTCATCTCAATAAATGCACACCCAAAAACGCCTCAAAAAATGTTTTGGCTCCATCTCAAATAACACACTAGTGTTATATTCAAGATTATTAGAGGTGAGTCTGAGTCAAGACCAAGACTTTGTAGTAGTTGAGATGAAGCCAAGACTGAGACCAGAAGTTTGTTTTTTTTAGAATAAAAATTACAAAGAATAAAAGACGACAAAAACTGAAGTCAATGCGTACTTGATTTTATTTACATTTATTATTATTAATTACACATGATATATATTAATAATTGATATTATAAAATATTTTGTAAAATAGAACATTAATAATATATAGCCTAAAAGTATTACATATTGTGATTATATTATAGTTTTGTCCAACTTTTCATTGTAACATTTGGAAGTAAATGATGGTGAGATTCTCTGTTCTTCTTCTCTAAAACTTATTCTCAATCACCACCTAAAACCAACAGAATATAAACCAAATCTGCCCCTTATCCCCCCTGCAGGATCATTAAACTAATATTTCATATAATTTAACTAGTCAAACTATATTATATTTTGCCATTCTAATTAACTAATTTTAACCAATAAAATATTTTATTTAATTAAGGTTTAACTTGGGCCGATAAGGATTTCGACTGTTGATTATCACCTGGAGTCAACATCAGTCATTTCAGTTTAACAGCCAACTGACTGATTTTAAATATTTGGTGGTTAAGCAGTTCTATTTATTGTTATGAATAATAATAAATAAAATTATCTAAATGAAACCAATGTGAAACTGTCCACTGGTTCAGTATATAGATTCAACATGTGCTTTCAGATGAAAATAAATGATTAAATAAATAGTTCAATAATTAACTAAATAAAATAAACAGTCAAACTGGAATTAAAGCAGTTTATGAAAGAATGGAAGGAAACAAACAGATGAAATAGGTACATAAAGCAGTAATGAACATAAAGGAGTTTAGAAAACAGCACTTCTGTTCTGCACATATTTGGCAGTGTGGTTTACTCAGTGTGTGAAGTAGATCATATTTCTGCAATATGAACCTCAATAAATGTCAGTCCTGGTTATGAATGTGTAGACAAGTGTTCCAAATAAGTAAAATCACAAGTGCTCAGACACATTAATATTTAAAACGTGCAAACTGTAATTCAAGCTAATGTTGCCAATGCATAAATAGATGATAAAGGGTTCATAAAGAAGAGACAGTCAGAGGTTAAAGTGCAGCCTGACTGAGCAAACACATTCATAGAACATAGAAACATTAAACTCATCAGTCTCAAATCATGTGATTAGGATGATAATCTACTTCTTATATTATAAAGAGTAAAGCAGCTCTGCTGACCTCATCATTTTATATCAACAGCACAACAGAAACCAACTGTGAAGGTGGAGCCTCAGAGCCCAGACACAGTTACTCTGAGCTGTGAGATGCTGCAGTCTACTGGAGAGAAGTTTTTATGGATGAAAAACTCTCAGTATTTACAACATGAATTAAAAACACTAACCGTAACGCTGCTTAAAGAAGGAGGAGAGTACAGGTGTGCAGCGCGCAGGGGAGACTATTTAACACAACAGAGTGATTCCATCAGGATCACAGTAGTAGGTATGTCACATTTTCTGTTTCGTTTTAGACAAATTACATGATTTTAGAATGATGATGAAAAGAAAAAAAAATTAATAAAATAGAATCATTTATAGGATATTTTCTATTGAGAGGTGTCTGAACCAAACACTAACCCCTAATTTACATTTGTGAAAATAATACTTAATTTTTTTTTCTTTAATTTAAAAGATCCTTTTGATTTGTTTTAATGTGACAACAACTTTATTAATGAAAATGCTGCCCCAAGTTTTCAGGTCACTACAGAAACACAGAGTTTTAGTCTGTAGGCGGAGCCTTATTTTAGCCACAAACCTACATTTTAGAGCAGGAAGTGAGGCTGCATCTCTGTCCCTCATGACCACAGAGAGAGCAGTTAGATCTCATTGTTTTGAAGTAAATGTGTTCCAGAGTCTGAAAATCAGTGTGTAACATTAAGAATTGTCAGTACTGAAACACATCTTTTCTGCAATTAAGTAAACTTTTTAGACTTTTCATGAAAAATATTATGATCTTATGTGTGCACAGCTACTCAAAGCTATGTTCGACAGTCATGTACTGGCTAGCACTGTTTTATAGTTTCACTAAAAGCAAAAGGATTTTAGTCTAAAGTCCAGGTCCAAAATGGGTTTTCAACTCTCAGTTCAGCAGAATGATGCTTAAACATTTCACAATTATTTGTCATCTTTGAACAGAGAGACCAACAGCTACAGTGAAAGTCCAGCCAGCTGATCATGTGTTCATCAGAGAGAGAGTCACTCTGACATGTGAAATAGAAAGTGGAGATGACTGGAATTATGAATGGTATAAGAATAATAATCTTCTCAGAGATGCTCAAAGGAAGGAATATGAAATCTCTAATGTTGATCAGTCTCATGCAGGTGTTTATACCTGTAAGGGAAGACAAAAGACAAGCCAAACATACACACTCCCCAGTGAAGCTGTAACACTGACTGTATCAGGTGAGTGTTGTCTTTCTTACATAATTTAAATTGATAAAGCTGCAAGGTATACATTTTTTTATTAAAACTGAAAGAAGTAGCAGAAAAAAACTCTAAAATGGTGTTTGTGCACTTCAGCGAGTCACCCGGTAAAGCCTAAAGTAGTTTAACAGCCAGAGGGGATCAGAAAGTTTTTTACAGGGTTTTTCAGACCACATCTTACAGCTTACAAGTATTAACGTCACACAGACAGTCTCAAAAAGAAGGTCCTGCTGATATTTAGGTCTTAAATGCAAAAATATCATTATACTAATGATAATGTGAGGACAACAGTAGATTATTCACTCACATCCTCAGAAGATATGTGCTTCTTCAAGTTCTGACTGAGTTCTCCTTGAATGCTCTTTCAATGAGCTCACAGTCATCAGATTCATTTACTCAGGAGGTTCATAGCACAACTAATGTTACAAAATGTTCTGCATGTTGTGTTTAATTACACGTTTTCACTAAAGAGGTCCAAATCCACAAAAATGACATAGTGTAGCTTTAACAGTTAAACGTGCAGACGTGCATTACTGCTATGAAAATATCACCTAACTTCACAAACTTAAGACCTAACAGACGATGATCATCAAAATTCTCTTTAAAATTTATTTTTGAAGTTTCATTGAGTTCATGTAGTTCATCTTATTAACACTAGAAGCATCAGTTGATGGCAATAGTTGGCTTTTGCCTGAAACGTTAGTTTGTTCACAACCAGAAAATAGAAGATGCAGAAGAGCAGTAGTGATCAATATAAAACACATCTGTAATAAAACTCTCTCTGTAAACTAACGAGAGTGAATGTTGTTGAATACTGTCCTGCATGTTCAGAGAGAGAGAATAAGTTTTAAAGTATTTATCATTTTTATGATAAGTATTTATCAAACAGTGAAATGACAGAACATGTTTTCCTATCTCACTTCTAAAGAGTGTACCTGTTCCACCTGTGGCACCCATGTTAACACTGGCCCCATCAAGGCACTGACTTTGTTTTGCCACCCGTTAGGATTCGTTTGGTCAGCATCATTAAACAGGCTTTTAATTGTGCTCAGTATTTTCTGTGCATGACAGCACTCAAGCTCAGCCAAACCAACAAGCCGGTTTACTGGTACACCTCCAGAAACGTGTCTGCAATAAGCAATAACATTATCCCTGCCGGACACATCTGTACTGCAGTCAGCGATTACAGAGATATAATTAGCCTTAGGGCTTCTTTCGTGATCTGTCCTTTGATTTTGTCTGCAATGCATCCTATGAACTCAGCACAAGCTGTGTCATCATCATATGTCTTCAACACATCCAGTTTTTTTTCATTAACAGGATTTGTGAGGTGAATTTGGTGAAGGGTAGTTCCTCAAATACTGTCATGTAGACTGCGCTGAATTTCATTTTAAGCTCTCTGAATTCTTTCTCGGCTGTTTTTCCGCATGCACGAGACACTGTGTGGGCTAAGGGAGTTTCCTCAGGAACGCGCTTTGCAATGAAATCACATGAATTTTTATGCCTTCGACTCTCGCCATGTTTTTCACTCTCTTTATTGAAATGATTCATTCCTGTTAAGAAATCAGTTTTCCCAGCTTTATCTTCGCCTGCTTTCGAACAGAATTCGCAGTACATAGTCTGCTTTATGTTATCGGACCTGAGCCACGGAAATTCCTGAAGCCAAGAAGTTCTGAAATGTCTTTCTGTGGTTGTACTTCTGCATGACGTGCTTGAGGTGGACAGTTGTTCAAGTACATCTTCGTGTGTGTCTTTCACTCGTTCACTGGTCTTGAGTCAGACTGCGGTTGAGCAGACAACCTCTTAAGGTCTGACAGAGACGTAGATTGTGTGTAAAATCTGATATTTTTCGCTTCGCCATTTTCTACCCGTCAACGTTCACTGCAAAAAGCTCAGCTCGGGTCATCCGTTGGCTACATTTTGCCACTGGTTGAAATCCCGTGAGGGCGCGCGTTTTTTGATAGGCGGACTCGTCCATGTGATTGGACGCTACAGCCTATCGGTTTCGCACTGCGATAAAAATGATTTAAAAAAAAACAACAAAAGAGCAATAAATAAAGAGAAAACACTAATAAGTAAGCAGTTACCGATAAAAAACTAATCTAAAGTTGCTGCCTGTCGCCACTGGCGAGTTAATTATTTATATTACTCGCAAAATTAATAATTGTGGTCGCAATTTCGATCATTTTAGTCGCAGTCTGGAGCCCTGACTGTCCCTCAAATACATATGCATGAAGGAGACACACATCTTGCTCGATCTACTGCCCAAATACTGTGTGTTTAGGCTCAATTGCCAGTTTCATTCATAACACACGAAAATAATGCATACAAATTCCATCTGAATACAGCACAAAAACCTTCATCCAGCCCACTGTATTAGTTCATGTAGCTCATCTCATGGACACTGGTAACATCAGCTGATGGGAATAGTTAGTAGACAGATGGGAAGTGGAAGATGCAGAAGAGTAGTGATCAACATAAAAACACATCTGGAATAAAATATTCTCTGTAAACCAACAGAGAGTGAATGTTTTTGAATACTGTCATGCATGTTCAGAGAGAGTGTATGAGATTTAAAAGTGTTTATCATCTTTGAACAGAGAGACCAAAAGCTACAGTGAAAGTCCAGCCAGCTGATCATGTGTTCATCAGAGAGAGAGTCACTCTGACATGTGAAATAGAAAGTGGAGATTACTGGAATTATGAATGGTATAAGAATAATAATCTTCTCAGAGATGCTCAAAGGAAGAAATATGAAATCTCTAATGTTGATCAGTCTCATGCAGGTGTTTATACCTGTAAGGGAACACAGTCAACAGGCCGAATATACACACACACCAGTGAAGCTGTTACACTGACTGTATCAGGTGAGTGTGGCGACTTTCTCACTTCATTTCTATCATTAAAGCTGCACTTTGTAAGGTTGGTTAATCAAAATTGAAAGAAGTAGCAGGAGAGGGTTTGTGGAACACGACATACATTTTTATGTATTATTGTCAAAAACACAAGCTCAAAAAGAAAGACCAGCTCAATGTTTAGGTCTCAAATGCAAAATTAATGTTATGCTGATGAGGATGTGATGACAGTAGTAGATCATTCACTTCCTCAACAAACATATCCTTCACCAAGTTTTGACTCAGTTCTCTTTGAATACTCTTTCAATGTGCTTTCCATGATTAGATTCACCAGATTTGGGTCCAAAACACCTGATGTTAAAAAATATATTCTTTTTCAAGTTGTGTGCAATGAATCATTTCCTCCAGAGAGGTCTGCAAATACCTAAATCCTACGTCTGCTCTTAGCCACGTGTCTTTTGTGACTTTAAGAAAATCTATGTCTGCTTTTAAAAACTGAAGAAAAATTCATGCAAAACTGGCTGCAGTAAGTTACTCAAAATTCAGTAAATCAAGTGGAAAATGTACCTACCAGGGATGGGGGAGTAGCTAAGTAGCTCACTACTTTTTGTAGTTAACGACAAATTTTTGTAGCTAATAACTGTAGCCGCTACAGTTTTATGAAATGTAGCTAAAAGCTGTAGCACCTACAAAATTTTGTGCAGCTTTAGCGATAATTTTTGCTACATTTTTGCTACAGACTTCAGGCAATCTGTGCAAAATCTGAACCATAGAACGCGGCCGTTAATGGCTAGTGGCGATTGTGCAATCCTGACTGAGCCGCAGACAGTTTGAGCAAACAGGCATGCACTGGCCTCACGCGCTGATCACCCCTTACTAGCAGGCTTAGCTCAGGGGTCGGCTATCGAAATAGTAAGAAGAGCCATTTTTCCTTTCAACAAAAATGAAACCACCTTGGGAGCCGCAACACTTATGTCCGTTTTACAATCTTGGCTGTAAATAAGTCTCAGTATGTGCTGATGTAGTAGTACAGGCTAACACATTTAATATAAACGAAAACACAGACTTATTTTGCTCTGCTTTAAGCTTTAGGTCAGTCACGTCTCTCACATCTCAGGAAACTTTTCCATGAGTTTCTTATAAAATGTCTCTCAACGGTCGTCTTTTTACGAGGCTGAAGTCGCTTCTCATTCGCCAGCTTCTCGTTCGAATTGTCCTGTTCCACCTTAAATGGTGCCCGAGGTGCCAGAATGTACTGCTGTGCCATTTAAGGTGGAACGGGAAAATCTGAACGAGAAGCTGGTGAATGAGAAGCGACTTCAGCTTTGCGAGTTGTTGCAAATTAAACGTATTAGAAAACCAGCTGCGTGATAATGAATGCAAATAAGTCTGTTCATCTCCAAATTATCGATGTTCGTCTTGAATCTTTCTCTTTTCCATTTCGTTATCTGCACTGCTGTGACCAGCTGTTTGCGCGTCAGTCTTCAGCGTTAAAGGTTGGTGAATTAGCAGTTATGTGTTAACTCCAGTGTTTAAGACCATTTATTGTGAAAACTCTGTTAAAACTGTGTGTTACAATGATTTTACAGTGAAGGAGGATTATGTTATTTTACCTAAAAATCTAGTTCTGCTGTGGAGCTGCAACAGCTCTGCAGCAGTGGAGAGATTATTCAGCTGCGCAGGCCTAATTCTCACCCCAAACAGGGCCAGAGTCACTAATGAGGATTTAGAGGCTACAGTGTTGCTGAAGTTTAACAAAGGACTCTGAATGTCATCTCTGTCTGTATCTTACTGAAATGTTTAAAATGGAGCAGTTTTATTTCAACAGTTGACAGTGCTTTGCACAAAATTGTTTGGTTTGTATACAATTTTTTTGTAGATTTTTGTTAGGAAAACCTGAAATGATTGACTTTTCCTTTACTTAATCAAAGTTTTTGTTGGATATAACACCTTTGGTTGTGTAAGTTTGATGGTTGGTTACACTTAAACTTATTTTTGGTGATCTTTTTGTATATTTGCAGCTTTTCAATTGTATGTTTCTTTCTGGCACAGGATTAAATGCAGTGTCTTGTTCACACTATCAGTTTGCCTTGTTTGGTGTGTCAGGTGGAGATTCACAAACATTCTGACAGTCGTGCTTTGAAAGTAGTTAAAAAGTAGTGCACTACTTTTCAAAAAGTAGAAAAAAAGTAGCCACTACTTTTTCTGGAAAAGTAGCTAAATTGTAGCTAGCTACACATTTTGGGAAAGTAGCTAAAAGTAGATAAATACTAATTTTTCAGTAGCTATCCCAACCCTGCTTCCAAAATCTGTACGTATTTTTTGTACAGTCCTCGTAGGTTTTCTGCAACTGTCCCTCAAATACATATGCATAAGAGGACATACACCTTGTTCGATCTACTGCCCAAATACTGTGTGTTTAGGCTCAATTGCCAGTTTCATTTATAACACATGAAAATAATGCATACAAATTCCATCTGAATACAGCACAAAAACCTTCATCTAGCCCACTGTATTAGTTCATGTAGCTCATCTCATGGACACTGGTAACATCAGCTGATGGGAATAGTTAGTAGATAGATGGGAAGTGGAAGATGCAGAAGAGTAGTGATCAACATAAAAACACATCTGGAATAAAATATTCTCTGTAAACCAACAGAGAGTGAATGTTTTTGAATACTGTCATGCATGTTCAGAGAGAGTGTATGAGATTTAAAAGTGTTTACCATCTTTCAACAGAGAGACCAAAAGCTACAGTGAAAGTCCAGCCAGCTGATCATGTGTTCATCAGAGAGAGAGTCACTCTGACATGTGAAATAGAAAGTGGAGATTACTGGAATTATGAATGGTATAAGAATAATAATCTTCTCAGAGATGCTCAAAGAAAGGAATATGAAATCTCTAATGTTGATCAGTCTCATGCAGGTGTTTATACCTGTAAGGGAACACAGTCAACAGGCCGAATATACACACACACCAGTGAAGCTGTTACACTGACTGTATCAGGTGAGTGTGGCATCTTTCTTACATTATTTCCACCAGTAATGCTGAGCTCTTTTTTATTAAATTTGAAGGAAGTAGCAGAAAGAAAAAAGACTAAAATACAGTGTTTCTGTACTGCAGTGAGTCACTCAGTAAAGTCTAAAATAGTTTAAAAGCCAGAGGGAATCAGAAAGTTTTTTACAGGGTTTTTTTTTCTAACCATGTCATGTGTCATTATGTATTAACGTCACTCAGTTTCAAATAGAATGTCCTGCTTGATATTTAGGTTTATAATGCAAAAATAACATTATACTAATGAAGATATGATGACAACAGTAGATCATTAACTCACATCCTCAGAAGACACGTCCTTCACCAAGTTCTGACTGAGTTCTCCTTGAATTCTCTTTCAATGAGCTCACAGTTATCAGATTCATTCACTCAGGGGGTTCATAGCACAACTAATGATACAAAATACTGTTCTCCATGTTCCCTGCAATTACACATTTTCACCAAAGAGGTCTCCAAATCCCCAAAAATGACATTGTGTAGCTTTAACAGTTAAATGTGCAGACATGCATTACTGCTATGAAAATATCATCTAACTGTACAAATTTAAGATGTAATAGATCATTACAATCAAAAATTTCTTAAATTTTTCTTAGAACATTCAGTGAGTTAATGTACCTCATCTCACAGACACTGGCAACATTAGCTGATGGCAATGGTTTGCTTTCGTGTGAAATGTTTGTTAGAGTTTGTCCACAGCCAGAAAGTGGAAGATGCAGACGAGTAATAGTGATCAATGTAAAAACACATCCTGAATAAAATTTGATTTGTAAATTACTAGAAAGTAAATGTTTTTGCATGTTCAGAAAGAGTTTATAAGTTTTGAAAGTTAAAAGTTTAATTTATTTTCTTTGAACAGAGAGACCAAAAGCTACAGTGAAAGTCCAGCCAGCTGATCATGTGTTCATCAGAGAGAGAGTCACTCTGACATGTGAAATAGAAAGTGGAGATGACTGGAATTATGAATGGTATAAGAATAATAATCTTCTCAGAGATGCTCAAAGGAAGGAATATGAAATCTCTAATGTTGATCAGTCTCATGCAGGTGTTTATACCTGTAAGGGAACACAGTCAACAGGCCGAATATACACACACACCAGTGAAGCTGTTACACTGACTGTATCAGGTGAGTGTGGCGTTTGTTTCATTTTGTCTCTTCCATTAACAGTTAAATGTGTGGTAGAAAATTCTGGACTTTTTTCAAATTCAAAAGTAAATGCAATTACATTGTGTTTTTACTGCATTAACTGTATTGACTGTATTTCCCATGTGAGTGAGCATCATTTAAGACATTAATAAAATTGCATTTCTATGTTTATTCGTTGGAAAACTTTAATATGGAAAAGCAAAATCTTTTTAACATTTCATTTTCATTGTCCTAATAATCTGAGTCTGACATGTTAAAAACAGAATAACAATCAACCATTTTTAATTGGATTTCATCATTGTTGCTCCAGCTCTGCCGAAATAAAATGTATCTGCAATCCTAGTTGCAACTGCATTTTCAGTGTCCATGAGACACCAACTTGTTAACAACCCCTGACTGTTTTTAATGAGTGTGTTAAAATAAAGAAAGCACTAAAATGTTAAGGGCCGTGTTTCTCCAGTGTTCCTCTATCTGTCCTGAGAGCTTCTGCCTGAAGTCAGTCCCAGTGTCACTGACATTGGTGCCTGTGATAACCATAAGTTCTCCTAATCCATCAAGAATTATTTCGACACAAAACAACAGGAAAGGACTTTCGACAAATTTATTCTCTGCCTGGTTAGCAAGTGTTAAAGTGTCAATAGTATTGCTTGCTACTGCTGCCTCCATATTCTAAACAATAGTCCTGCCAACCTTTAGACTTTTTTGTCACTTCCTCCTAAAACACGCCCTGCACTAAAAACTCCCTCCCGACGTCCCACCCACAGTGTTTGATTGATGGCAGTGCTTCATTAACAGTAAATATTCAGTTGCAAACAGATTTTAATTTTGGCAGAGCTGGAGCGACAGTGAGGAAAAGTAATTGCAAATGGCTGATTGTTATTCTGTTTTTAACATGTCAAAGTCTGACTGTTAAAACAATGAAAATGAAATTACAACCGTTTTAAAAAGAAATTTAAAGGCACATATACTTTTTGTATTTGTCCTAAGTGATGCACCCTCACATTCAAATTGCAGCTGTAAATACATTAGAATTTTCAAATTTGCATTTGAAAAAAAATCAGAATATGTTAACTAGGGCTGGGAATCTTTAGGCACCTCACAATTCGATTCGATTACGATTCAGAGGGCTGCGATGCGATTATAAAACGATTATCGATGCATCTCGATGCATCTTTTTTCTCTATACAGGATTTCTATCTTCTTACTGTTTGAGGACTTGGTAGTTTTAAAGCAAAGTATTTGTAATGATCCATACTGTAAATGTATTATGGATCATTACAAATACTTTGCTTTAAATATCTAAAATATGTTTTATTAATAAATCAATTGGAAGTGATGTGGCAAGTGAACTAGAAGGCTCTCATTCAGAGACACTGCTGCCACTCATCTGCGATAAAATGCGCGGTTACCCTGAAATAAGATCCAGTGGTATCGGGTGTCCACGCAGCGCGTTACAGCCATCCTTCCAGTGTTCTTTGTCATTTTATAATGGGGATGAGGGGGGAGAGCGATAAAGTGGGGTATTTTCGAGACTGGACGCTGAATCTCGGCTCCAAAGTGTGCAGCATAGCGCGAAAGCCCCGGTTCTCAACGACGGAGAACAGACAGCAGACAGCAGACAGCAGGTCACATAGCCCCGAGGTCTGGCCTCGCCAGTAGCGAACGAAAAGACAGAGATTAAGACGAACATTTGGAGGACTTATTCGCATTTATAAGCAGCGCGCTTGGTTAAATCTGCAACGAGAGACTGTCTTTCTCTAAAAAGTTGCGAAAATGAACTCGCGTCTCTTTCGTATTTTCCCGTTCCACCTTAAATGGTGCAGCAGTTACATTCGGCGCCTAAGGCAGAATTTAAGGTGGAACGGGAAAATTAGAACGAGAAGCTGGCGAATGAGAAGCGACCTCAGCTTCGTAAAACAGCCGGACGCTGAGACATTTTACAAGAAACTCTTCTACTTCTGAGGAAAAGTTTTCTGGCGGAGACGGGAGGAAAGCGGCTATAACTGAGCTAAAGCTTAAAGCAGAGCGAAGTAAATCTGCGCTCTCGTTTTATATTTTCAGCCTATACTAGGACATTATCACATACTGAGACATACTGGACATTAAATGTTGCGGCTCCTAAGGTGGTTTGACTTCGTGGAAAGGACAGAATGGCTCTTCTTATCATTAGTGTTGTGACTCCTGATCTAACCTGGCTTTAACGCAGAGGGAGCCGGTCGGATTTCTCGCTCATCCAGTAGTGTTTTTGTTATGTGCCACAGACTGTCCGGGCGCCGCACTTACACACTTCCAGTTCAGCCTTTTGCGTTCCGTCAACATTACGTTATAAATTAAATATTTAGAAAATCGATTTTTGACGTTGAATGAATCGATTCAGAATCGTTCACATCCGCATCGCGATGCATCTAAGAATCGAGTTTTTCCCGCACCCCTAATGTTAACATATAAAGGTTAGGAGTATGTGGATCACACAATGTATTTACCATCTTTGAACAGAGAGAACAAAAGCTACAGTGAAAGTCCAGCCAGCTGATCATGTGTTCATCAGAGAGAGAGTCACTCTGACATGTGAAATAGAAAGTGGAGATGACTGGAATTATGAATGGTATAAGAATAATAATCTTCTCAGAGATGCTCAAAGGAAGAAATATGAAATCTCTAATGTTGATCAGTCTCATGCAGGTGTTTATACCTGTAAGGGAACACAGTCAACAGGCCGAATATACACACACACCAGTGAAGCTGTTACACTGACTGTATCAGGTGAGTGTCGCATCTGAACTATGTAAGACTTTTTATAAAAATTGAAAGAGGCAATTGGAAAAAAAAGAAACACTAAAATATGGTGTTTGTGTACTGTGACGAGTCACCCAGTAAAGCCTCAAATACTTTAGAAGCCAGAGGATTTTTTTTTTCAGACCAAGTCACACATCTTTAAGTAATAACATCACACAGACAGTCTCAAAAAGAATGTCCTGCTTGATGTTTAGGTCTCTAATGCAAAAATAACATTATACTGATGAAGATATGATGACAATAGTCCTCCTTGAATGCTTTTTCAACAAGCACAGTCATCAGATTCATTTACTCAGGGGGTTCTTAGCACATCGAATGTTACACAATATTGTTCTACATGCAAAAATTACACATTTTCACCAAAGAGGTCTCCAAAGCCCCAAAACTTACATAGTGTAGCATTGACGTTAAATGTGCAGACATGCATTACTGATATAAAAATACCATCTAACTGTACAAATTTAAGACGTAACAGATGATGATCAGTAAAATTCTTGTTAAAATTTATCTTAGAACCTTCAGTGAGTTTGTGTAGCTCATCTCATAAACACTGGCAACATCAGCTGATGGCAATTGTTGGCTTTTATGTGACACATCTGTTAGAGTTCACAGCCAGACAGTGGAGGATGCAGAAGAGTATTATGTCTATAAACTAATAGAGAGTGAATGTTTTTGAATACTGTCATGCACGTTCAGAGAGAGTGTATATGTCTTAAAAGTGTTTGTCTTCTTTGAACAGAGAGGACAAAAGCTACAGTGAAAGTCCAGCCAGCTGATCATGTGTTCATCAGAGAGAGAGTCACTCTGACGTGTGAAATAGAAAGTGGAGATGACTGGAATTATGAATGGTATAAGAATAATAATCTTCTCAGAGATGCTCAAAGGAAGAAATATGAAATCTCTAATGTTGATCAGTCTCATGCAGGTGTTTATACCTGTAAGGGAACACAGTCAACAGGCCGAATATACACACACACCAGTGAAGCTGTTACACTGACTGTATCAGGTGAGTGTGGCGACTTTCTCACTTTATTTCTATCATTAAGAGTTTAAAGTACAGAAGTGCTATGCAACAAAGCCTTAATGAGTTCATGTACAGTGCTTTGCCAAAGTCAGAGACCACCCTTCATTATTTAATTTCCAGTTAAAACCTTAAATAAAGACATAAAGTCGTCCTACAAGTTGGTCATTTTTTCTGCATTGGAAAAAAGCAGAAATGTCCACACATTCCTGAGTTTTCTAGCTTTTCACTTGATCACAGACCCAATTACAGATCATTTTGAAAATCATACATAAAAGATCTAATTAACCAAGTGCAAAAGTCTCATCTCCCTTTGTTTTTGTTTCTACATCCATCAAACTTTCAGCTCAGGCTGCCTTGTAACAGACTAGACCTTTCAGTAGTTCAGCAGTTAACTTTTACAGGAGGTCTTTCAGTGAACTGTAAAGAAACAATACAAATAATGGCCTGTTTGAGTGCATTAATATTTATCTTTATACACAATGTTTTAATGATAATTGTGAGCACTGAACAGTTGTGTTTAATTAATCAAGCTAACTATCCGCAGCTACTTAGCTAACTGACCTTAATATTGCTTTATAACCTTCTTTGTCTTCAGACATCACATTAAAATGATTTTTAGTAAATACAGTAATCTAGATTAGCTGAACTAAGAGCCAGAATAATTCTGTCTGTTAATAGTTTTCACACTGAGCTGTGAGTGAGTCTCCCACAGAGTTTAAGCCAAAACCTTTTCAGCTTCAGGAATGATACAAAAACGACACCAACATCCGGATATTAGGACACATAAGTGTTTGTCAGGCATTATATGTTCCTCAGTTACACCTTTCCACCATTTCTTGGTCTAATAAGTCTGATTAATTTACTGCTAACACTTTTCTTTTGATCTCCACTCTGTTTCCTCTGTAATGATGACTGAAACAGAGGTGTGAAGGTATCATGTGTGGATGAGCTTAATAAATTAAATCTTCTCTAAAATATGATGATATATTTGCTGGAGAGGTTTATTCTTGTGTGTCTCATCATGAGTTAACTGTACATTACTTAAACATTAAACCAATGTCAAAGTTACATTTCTAAATAACATAAAGCTGATTGTCTAAATTCTCTCAACTGAACTTTGTTCTTCATCAACAGTAAAAGTCAGACCTACAATCACCTCAAACCATGATGGACCTGTACTGACAGGAAACACAGTGACTCTGTACTGTAACCTCCCTCAGTCTGCTGGATGGACGTTTTACTGGTCCAAACACACACAGAACTCTGAGAAGGAGACCATCACCAACGTCTACACCATCAGCTCAGTTAGTCTCTCTGATGGAGGTCAGTACTGGTGCAGAGCTGGCAGAGGAAACCCAGTCTACTACACACACCACAGTGCTGCACTCTGGGTAAACGTTACTGGTGAGTAAGAGATTTTCACTGAGTAATATTTTGTAGTACTGAGGGTTAACAGCATAGATAGGACTAAATAATTAATATTACTGATACATCTATTTAAAGGCATCATAAATCTGAGGGTCAGTTTATATAGTAGTTTGGTCCAGACCAAAGCCGAAAATGATACATTGTTCAGTTCTAGTTCTGGTTCACACTGTTTACCAGGGGTGTAAAGAGTACTCAAGTACAAGTACTGTTACTGTAGTGATAATTTACTCAAGTACGAGTAAAAGTATTAGTAATTAAAATGACTCAAGTAAGAGTAAATGAGTAGTTCATTAAAAAACTACTTAAGTACTGAGTTACTTAGTTACTTTTTCGTATTACCGCTGTCACAACATGAACATATTTCTGAGCTGACTCGGCTACATCACTGGAAATAATCTGTACAGAAAAACATTAAAGCTAAAGTTCTGAGAGCTGAGACTGATCACAGTTCGCTCTGCTAGAGCACAGTTACACACCTTTCTGTGAGCTGTGTAAGGAACAAGGTTCACATTAAACTGCATGCATTTCATGGTTAGATGATTATATAAGATGTCCTAGTTTATCTGTTTCCAGTAAAGTATTTTAGAATCCCTGAAAGACGGTGCAGAGGTTGTGAAAACTGACTCAAAATTATGAGTAAATTGCTTAATTAATGATGTCATTTTAGTGAGACCTGCTGCCCATCAGCTCCCTGGACTCTAGCTTACGTTAATAGGTGTGAACCTCTACAGACAGTAAACACATTCACAGCCTTCAGACTGTATATTTTCACTGATATCTGTTCAGAACATTTACACCATTAAAATCAGCAGCAACATCAGCAACTTACCCAGCTTTGATTTTACTGTAATATATTTCACTAATCATGCTGATCACTTCATACAGAATCAGACATTATTATCGCATTAGACAGTTAAACAGCCGTTAAAGACAAAGACCACGGCAGAAAGAGAGAGAGAGAGAGAGAGAGAGAGAGAGAGAGAGAGAGAGAGAGAGAGAGAGAGAGAGAGGTGGGGAGGGATCAGATCAGGCCAGTCGACAGCGCGACAGAATCACTGCTCAGAGCTGGTGAAGGTCGTGTATTAGACTAGATTTCTTTAGCCGTAAACGACCGTTTATCTCCTTAACAGCAGCTAAACTAGCTGTATAAAGGGGTAAACTGTAGCCTGTGGGCGACACCTGATAACTAAAACAGCTGACAGACACGTGTAATAAAATATACGCAGCAGATTTTAAGTTTCATAAACAGAAACATTATAAAAGAAAGAATAAACCCGTAAACACGGTACCTGTTTAGCTCAGATCAGCTAGCTCGGCTAACGCTCCCTCAGGCTGGAGTCGAGTTGTGAGAGCGGATCTCTGCAGGTTTCGTGTTTGGCCGCTGATAATAACTCCGTTTTCTTAAGTTCATGTTAAATGAATACAGATGACCGTTTGGACGCGAACTGTTCCTCGTGTGAGCTGCTTGAGTCCTCCTCTGTCCTTCTCCACTAAACTGGTCATCTCTGTAGTGTTTTTCCTGTCGGAGCTGCTGTTTTTTGATTGGTGAATCTTTTAAATTTAACCGTCCTTTGTTCGTGTTGGTTTCAGAGCTGATTCGCTCATCATTTATTTTTACTCTGTAACGTCATGAAAATTAAAGTAGCGAAGTAAAAGTATTTCATTAAAAATGAACTCAAGTAAGAGTAAAAGTACTGTTATTGAACTCTACTCAAAAAAGTACCGTTACAGGGAAAACTGTACTCAAGTACACTAACGAGAGTAAATGTAATTCGTTATTTACACCTCTGCTGTTTACACTGACATATTTGATATCAAGCCATAAAATGTAATTAAAAGAAGATTTAATGATATACATTTGTTAAAAAAAGATCCAACAAACCTTCTTAACCATGTTGTGCTCTGATCTAACAGAGCTTGTGGGTTTTATGAATGTCTTGTGATGTTCTAAAGAAATCTACTACAGGGGGCTGTGCATTATCACAGTTTTCCCAATATGCAAAGCAGAGTACCATCACTATAACGTACGCTCACGAGTGTCTTACTGCTTTTAAAAACCATTGAAAACTTAACACATTAATATATATATTATGATTTATGTGTGTGGTTGTATGTGTGTATACACATTTTTTCCTGCCCTGGTTGGGCGACCACAGTACTTTCTGTGTGGAGTCTGCATGTCCGTATGATGGACTGGCAACCTGTCCAGGGTGTTTCCTGCCTTTCACCCAATGAGCGTTGGGATAGGCTCCAGCTCCAACCTTGGATATAATATGACATATTTTCAAAGGAAAATAAGTGAAAAAACAGCTTCCAAAACTAAAATTTAAAAATGTATTAAAAGATCAAGAGAAAATGGAACAGCCATGCACAATCTGGTAGACCATCAAAACTTTCACCACCAGATAAACAGCACTTAATGCTTTCATCCTTGAGACACAGGAGAAAATTAAACTCCACTCTTGCTTCACATCTGTACAAATGTTTCTAGACTTCCTTCCACTGTGAGAAAACCTCTTAATGGTCTGAGTGTGTAACAGTGAAAAAGCTGTTACTGAGAAAAGCACATGAACAAAAAAGAAGAAAGTTTGTACTTTTTTGGGGAGGATCAGTGCAGATTTGGGAATCTGGAGTTGGTGGATTATTTTTGGTTGAAGGCTTCATGAGAACAATGAGTACAAACAAATTTTAATACATCATGCAACACCCTCAGCAGGAGCATCACTAGACGTTTATCGATGGGGGGGGTGTAAGCCTGGTGTCGGGGGGCATGGTCCCCCAGGAGGATTTGTAATGGCCCCACAATGTCTGTTCATGATTAACTTTAATAGGAGCAACAGCCAGAAAATGTATCAAAAATGGCTATTTGGTCAAAGTGGCACACAGCAGATTTGCCTCTTTGTAGTTTGTATTAGGCACAGAGTTTGTATGACTAAAACACTTTATCCATCCACTTAGAACAGACACAGATCAAACTTATCTGTGCAAACTTTACTGCGCAGTACTGCGTATTAAATAATGAGCAAAATTCATCATTTAATCTCAAAACTTCGCCTCTTATTTTAATAACAGTGTTGGGAACTGGGAATTTTGTTACAGACAGCACCAAAGCCATGGTGTCCATAAAGCCTGATAAACAGGTGTTTAAAGGAGAGGCGGTCACTCTGAGATGTGACACACAGGCAGGAGGAGACACTAGGTGGACTTACAGCTGGTATAAAGACGACCGTTTGTCCTCAAACAGAAGAACACAGGAGTTCACAATCAGCCCTGTTACAGAGTCTAACGGTGGTAAATACACCTGCAGAGGAGAAAGAAAACATGACTCTCAGAGCTCAGAGATCAGTGATGCTGTTACACTGACTGTGTCTGGTGAGTCTGTGGATTTGTTTTAATATTCTCATTAATTATACTGTATGTAATGATCTTATCACTGTGTGTAAACTTGATTTAGTCTATTATATTCTCCATGTTCTCTCTGTCAGATGTAGCTCAGGCAGTATTGAGTGTGTCTCCACAGAGCTGGCTGACTGAAGGAGACTCAGTGACCTTAAGCTGTGAGGTTACAGGCTCCTCTACAGGCTGGACATTCAGCTGGTACAGAGCTGTTCTCTACAGACAAGGCTTACAACAAATAAGAGACGTTCATGGCAATGTTCTGTATCATGTAGAGCTCCTGTCAGACAGCAGAAGAGGAGCTGGAGGCTCCTACACTCTCAGTCCTGCTGCTCTAAATCACACGGGAGTTTATGTGTGCAGAGCAGAGAGAGGAGAACCAGCCTATCAGACACAGTACAGCACTCCACAGACACTATGGATCACTGGTGAGGAAATACAGATATTAATCATTTTGTTTATATATATGTCGTATTCATCAAAACCATTCTTTTAGTGAACAGTATATTTGTTTAGCATTAGTATTGATCAACATGCTACATGTGTATCTTGTGTGCATGTTCAGGTTCATCTCCTCCAGCCTCTCTGATCATCAGTCCCAGCAGAACTCAACATTTTAGTGCTGGCTCTCTCTCACTGAGCTGTGAGGGACAGAGTGACTCTACTGGATGGAGAGTGAGGCGATACACACACAGTGGGGAGGTGTCAGATTGTTCATCAGTTACAGGATCTACATGCAACATCAGCTCCCTCTACACATCCCTCACTGGAGTTTACTGGTGTCAGTCTGAATCTGGAGGAGGAAGTGATCCTCTCAACATCACAGTGCACAGTGAGTCTCCATTATTCTTAACAATAATAGGCGTCCAATTCAGAATTATTAGAAAAGCTATTTAATGAATTAATTGTTAAAAATGTAAATACTTCCATACTAGATTAACACTTCAGTATAGGAGGATGTTATAAAGCTCTTTTTACATCTTAACAAACCTATAGCTGATTATGAACTGGCTGCTCATTTCTACTTTAATATGCAGTAACTGAAGTGATTTAGGAGCATTTTTATTTGTGTATTATACATCATTCAGTGCCACAGCTCTCAAACTGTTTTATTTTATTTTTAAAATGTTTAACTTTTGTCTGTCTGTATTATATTTTACCTGTTAGCTGCTTTTTATGTTTACATTTTAAAGCAATTGTCGGGCCAAGAAAGGCACTAAATAATTAAAACTTTATAAATAATCTTGTGTATTGTCATTACCTGAGTGATGGGTCTATATGAATGCACTTATTAATGAACTCTTTGATTAATTACCTAATTAGTTACATTGTGTCCCATCAGAGTTGTTTATTTTTATTGTTTCTTTTCAAAACAGTAGTTTAGAGTTTCCTTTTGATTCTTAGTAAATTTACCAACCTTTAACTAAAAAACTGATCTCGTACTCTAAAGTGCAATTTCTAGTTCAGATGTAAACTTAAGACAGTGTTACTTCACTCATTAATCTCTCCTACAGATGGTGATGTGATTCTGGACAGTCCTGTCCATCCTGTGTCTGAGGGAGATTCTCTGACTCTCCGCTGTTTATGTCGCTCCACAAAGCCCTCAAACCTCACAGCTGATTTCTATAAAGATGGATCACTGCTCCAGACCCAGACTACAGGAGAGATGATCATCCGTACTGTCTCAAAGTCAGATGAAGGTCTCTACCACTGTAAACACCCAGAGAAAGGAGAGTCACCAAAGAGCTGGCTCTCAGTCAGAGGTGAGAATACAGTTTCATGTTATTTGATTCATTCTGTAACTCTACAGTTCACAAATTGTAATAATTCACTGGTTTCTTTCTCCAGCTTCAGGTTCTGGATCTGATGGTGTAACAGTAGGAGTGGCAGTGGGACTGAGTTTAACCTTGTTCCTCATTATCATACTGGGCCTGATTTGCTGTTACAAGAAGAACAAAGGTTTGAAAACACACTTTGTCTGTCCTGTATCAGTTTATGCAGCTGACTAAAGACAGATTTCTGTGAGCTGTGTCTCCCTCTACTGGAAATCAGCAGAACACCAATCAAAGCCAGAGTCTGTCAGGGTCTGGGGGGTCTCTCTCGGGAAACCCACCACTGCAGGCTGATCAGTTTGCATTATCAACATACAGTTACAGTTACACTGTTTCACTAAAAGATCTTATTTGCTCTGTAATAAGTAGTGATCACATTGATGGATTATTGATTTTATATATAACAGGAACACAGCTATATTTCATCTCTTCTTTGTTGATACTTTTTAAGTGAGGTATCTTTGATGATGTGATGATGAACACAGTGGCGTCTCTGATGAGTAACTTCTTCTGTTCCAGATGATTCTGCAGCTCAGCCCAGTGATGTAACTTACGCTGAGATTGAGACTACAAACAACTACAAAGGAATCTGTAAGAACTGCATCTCTACAATAACAGAAACATATTTTCTCTTTAATTGTCTTTGATATAATCTAAATTATTTCTGTATCAGATGAACCAGTGAGGAGACCAAATGATGTGACTTATTACCAAATTAAGATGGAAAATTTGAAACACCACAGAGAAGGTATGAATGACCTAATATACATTTATTTTCTGTAAAGGATCATATAAGACTGACTGTGTTAACACAAAGCATTAGCTGTTCCTCTGCCATGCAACATCATCGAAAACAAAAATTATAGAATAAATAAATTAATATCTACATTTTTTTTTACTCATTTAAAAAAAGATACGGTTTTGGAGCCATGTTACTCATTCACCAAGGGGCTTTACTCACACATTAATACAAAAAACATTAACTCTAAGGGCAAAGGTTACAAAAAAGCTATTTAAAAGAAAAAAATGAAAGAGTTTTAATTTTACATCAGTAAAAAAAAGTTTACATTATATTATAGCAAAATATATATAATATAAACACCCTCTTTTACACATATTGTATAATGTATATACAGTTTCCTTCATCTCATTAATTGTTGTAAAATTATCATCAGTGACATTAAGTGGGTGCCTGAAGCCCCCACAGTCCATCAACCATTAGATACAAAAGTTTGGGAACCCTTGGCCAAGTTACACATTTCTTTAATAAAAAGAAGTTAAAACAACCTGTAACAACAACAACAACAACAATAACAATAATAATAATAATAATAATAATAATAGTAATAACAATAATAATTTAATACGTTTATTTATAGTGCACTTTTCATACAAGTGGCAGCTCAAAGTGCTTTACAGATGATAAAGTCTAAAGGTAATAAAAGAAATTCGAGGTTGATTTTCTTCTATTATGTAGTCTCTAGTAAACTGTCACTGGGGCAGTTACCCTTGTCCCTGGGGTCATACCCTCAAGGGTACATCTCAGTACCTTTAGTTAGGGAACATAATTGTACCATAATCCATTTAAATTATATTTTCTATGTTGTATTAGTCCAAACACTCCATCTCATCTCCAGGCTTTTTATTTTATTGCTCTGTTTTAAAACATTAGTTTATGAAAAGGTACAAATTCATACTTTTCCACTGGGAAAAACTTAATTAACGTTCACAATCTGACCTTAAAACTACTGTTGTACCTTTGAGGGAACATTTACATTGTTTGTACCTTGATTAATGAAAATGTTCCTGCACACAACCTTTATTTCTAACAGTGTAGTTACTGTGAGTGTAAGTCTCTTTCAGAGGATCTGAGCTCTCTCTGGTTCCCCTTTAATCTAAACACTGCATGAAGCTTAAAAAGACTTCAGAGCTTTATTAAAACCTAGACTTGATCTCCAGATGACAGTATTGTCTGAGTCAGTAAGTGAAGGTGGAAGCTGAGTGTGTTTAAAATACAAGTGACTTTTTTCTTGCACAACAAATTTCTGCAGATTTGTGCTGAGGAGGATTTAACTGCCCTCCTTCTTCCCTCATGATGTACAGAAATATTTAAACTGTAAAGAAACAATATCTAAGTTTAATGGAATTTTACACACATCAGGTTGAGACACTGATGCCTCATTTTTCAGATACATCAACTCCATTGCGAGTGTAGTGGATTGTTTTAACAACAGAAAACTGTTTACATTCACCTTAAACAGGCAGGAGTGAGAAATGAGTTAAAAAATAATTTAATTTTGCTACTTAACTCATTTGCACCAAAGTAAAACATTTTCAAAAAAGATAAAAAGAAATTAAATATGTTATATTATCATGTCTTCCTGTTTGAAATTAAATTTTGAATACTACACTTGACCTACTTTCTAAATCTAATCTGGCAATTTCAGGAGATTAACACCAGGAACACTATCAGACCTTGTTTTCTTTATCAGCATATTTAGACAATAGTCATGATTAGTTTCATGAGTTTATGTTACTGTTTTATTGAAAATAACTTTGATTAATAAATAATTACCTAAAATATAAAAGTCATAAAGTGCTTTTCTCTTGCAGGTCTATGAAGAAAACTCCTGCTGTTGTTTCAGTACAGAAAAGTAACCATTTACAGAAACTCCTGGTTGGGGTTTTAAGGAGTGCAGACAGAAGAGGATCTGAACACATTTAGACTGTCAGAATTATATTTAATATCTGTATATCTTTCAATAACAAACGCTCTGTTACTGTTTTATACTGATGAAGTGAACAGAGTCTCACTTTTTCTCATTTGTGTATTACTGTACTTTTCTAACACTGACTCTGAGTCAGTGTCTCTAGTGAGGAACTTTTATTTGTGGTACAGTTGCATCTCATCTGTTTTTGAGTCGCTTATAGCTCAGTTGTTTTGTAAGATTGTTATTTTGCAGGCTACATTGTAATCTTTTTTTAATTAAATGTGTATACAGTGTGTATATTCATAATTACAGCTCTGTAGAATCAGACTTTTAAACACATACTATGTTGAAAATCAAATTAATCTTGATCTTAGTGTCTTTTCTACATGATTTAATAAACTCTAAATTCTTAATCATGACCAACATTATAAACAGACTCATCAGTCTCATCTCATCTCTCTTTTCCTCTGAGTTTAGTGAGTTAAAAGAGTTTAACACTCTCTGTTATGAGTAATAATACACTGTACACGTACAGCAGCATACAGAGCGTTTATCATAGCAATGTTAAATTTAAAGCATATTAGCATTGACAGTCACACAGTATCACTGTAAACATACTATGTGGCAGATTTGAACAATGGCAATTTTTGTTGATTTTTGTATGATAATATATTTTTGATCTCATGAGTTTTGATGCTTAATGTATTTTAATTTTTTTTTCATTTTATATATTTTATCATATCCTTATGTCTAACCAAACTAAACCACATTCATAAACTGATGGTGGTTGACTAATTGCAGTGTGGTCATTTGTTCTGATATTCTCATTCTTAATGTATTCTAACCTGTTGATCTTTTATAATGCAGCTAAAGTTACATTTACAATCATGTTATGTTTTATGAAATGAAATATTACTTTGTTTTCTTTAAGAAGCTTAAGAAATAAATCGGTGTAATAGAAACTATATTTTTATTCATCTTTGCTGATGTCTGGAATTAACACAAATAAATATTTTCTCTAAGCACCACAACACCTCTTATGTCCTGTTCTTTATTCAGAGACAGATATTAGCTTTGATCAATAACTAATTTACCCAGGGTGAACTTCAGAAGAGGCCTGATGATTTCTGGGAACTGAAAAATGTTATGCTTGTTGTATTTAAACTCTCAAACTATGAGAGTAATTCTCTTATTTTAATGTTAAGGTTTGCTCAGAAAAACCAGGTTAAAATCTTAAAATAGAAAATTAGATTTTGTTCTCCATTGTGAAAGTTCTGTCTAAGCCCAGCTCACCACACAGCATTTTACCATCACTGCATTAAACTAAACCCAGAACCAGACCACAAAAACCCATAATAGATCACACATAGCTTGAAATGTACACAGAGGAACCTGTTAGTGGACCCTGGGGCTACTGATGGTCATGGACCCCATAAGCCTGTTTAAATTCCATGAAATCAGTGTCATAACTCAGTTCCCTCCCAACTGATGTGGACAAATTACAGCAGATTTAGTAAATATCAAACACCAGACAACATAGCATTGTAAAACCAAGACCTTTGTTTTTAATGAAGGTGGTCACACCACCATGATAGTTCTCAGTTATTCATCACCTCACTATTACTGCATTAACATAAACCACCAACCAGAGCACTAAAAGCCACAGTCAATTATATGAGGCTTGAAATTTACACCAAGAATGCAGTGAATCTAAAGTGTGAATCATCTATTTTAACCTCAGCTAATGTTACTAGCCTGGCATGTAGTGTATCGTTTGATCTTCTTATAACATGAGGGGCAAATGATTCACTTGTAAGAACATCACGTCAAGGTCTTGGACATGTTAGATGGTTATCAATCAGTCAGTTCTCATCTCTTGATGCTTTGGATATGGGAGAAATTGGCAGATGTAAAAAAAACCTGAGTGACTTTAACAAGGATCAGATAATTATGGAATCAGTAAACAGACTCCAGTCATCAATCATCTGTGAATAATTAATTAATCATGTGAACAGATATTAATCAAATGAAAAAACAAATGAGACTGTGAAATTAGACTGTGAAAGAGTGTGTTGTGTTTGTAAACTCTTATCTTGTCAAAATGCTGTTTTATTCTACATGTAGACTAATTTGAAGTGACCTATAAAACAGCAAACGAAAGACCTCAAAGTCAGGAGCTCAGCTCTCCACATTTACAGCATCTTGTAGATCATATATATTTATAGTATATGATTATAATGTTTGTGCCAAATTTTGTCTCAGAGGCCTGAGAACAGAGAGGAGTTAGAGATGTGTTTGTGGTCTGACTTTTATTCTAGTAAAACTGCAGTAATGACAACACCAACCAAATAAGAACTGAAACCTAATGATGTTTTTAAGTGACACTTATTGCGTCTTTTACAAGCTATAAATTCATGTTTATGACAAGACAGTCTTTTATTCACGTATTTATAATCATACTGATCTTCATCTTTCAGGCTCCTCATGTCCATCCTTAAAATCTAAGCAGACTCGTAATGCTGGGTCTCTCTGCTTTGGTGCCCCAGAGAGGTGGAATGAACTTTTCCCTGGACTCTGCACTGCAGTCAGTTCTCACGGTCAGTTCTTTCCTCTGTGGTCTGAAGACTCGTATCTTCAGGTATTATCTACTTCACACCTTTCTGCTCTCATTCGCACTTCATTTTTTCACAGATGTGCCAGTTACCCACTAATACCACCTCCCCCACACCCACCACGACAGACGCTGATGTTTGAACTTCACGCTGGTAAAAACAGTCCTTTTTTTCTTTGACCCAGAGAAAACAATGTTCATTATCTCCATGAATAATCTAGAGGTTTGACTTGTCAGACCACAATACACGTTTCCACTGTGCATCAGTCCATTTCAGATGAGCTCGAGCTCAGAGAATTCTGCAGCCTTTGGGATGTTGTTGAGAAATGACTTCCACTGTGCACAGTACAGTCTAAACCTGCATTAGTGGATGCAGCGTCATTAAAATCAGTTTGTCAAAGTATTTCTGTTTTGTTCTTGTCTCATTTCTTTGAACGTATTGCAGGTATCAATTTCATATGTTAAAAAAAAAAACAATGAAGTTGATAAAGTAGAACATTATATCTTCTCTTTGAACTGTTTTTATTCAAAAACAGGTCAAAGTAGATTTAAAGATCAATTCCTTCGTATTTTACAGAAGGACTTGGGTTTGTAGGATTCAGGCCGAATACAAAAAACATTAAGGCAGAACCCAAGAACTCTCTCTCTCTCTCTCTCTCTCTCTCTCTCTCTCTCTCTCTCTCTTTCATGTGCTTGGTCTATGACTAAAGGGGAAGTGTTTAGGTCATTGTTCAGTCAGTCATTACTGGGGCAGTATGGAGCTCAGTATGCTCTCTCTGATGATCTGTGAGTGAAGATTCTCTTTACATTGCTGTAGCTTATTAGTATTTAAATTTGTGTTATTTTGTACTGTATTTGTACTGTAATTGTTTTGTATAGCTTTGCTCCCCATTTCATAGTGAAATTTACATTCTGGGTTAAAAGAATAAGACACTCATTCCAGCTAAAAAAACATCCATGCATTAAAGAAGGTTCATCATCTTGTCCTTCTTCTTCATCATGTTGTGTAAGCAGCCCTTGTATTTGCCTGTTTCTATCTGTCAGGTCTTGAGTTTATTGTTTTTGATTTCTTATGTTACCTCGTCTGTTTCCACCCACCTAGTGACTGTTTCGTAAAATTAAAAGCTTACACTGACATTGTTTTGCAACTAGTCCTCATTTGTGACAGTTGCCATAGTTTTAATTCATCTTTCATGTTAATAATATGACATGTTTTAACTCCTGTACTGATACACAGAGCCTCATGAGGGAATGTTTTAGCCTACAGTTACCACTGAACTCAGAAATGAGTTCATTATTGGAGTGTCTTTCTCCTGGGGTCATAAGAATCCTTAATTGTATGCACATTTTTGTGCTTTCCCACATCTAGTACACCTGATTGAACTCAACTGCTAATTTACAAGCTCCTGTTGTGCTGGTTGAGGTGTGTCAGAGTGAGAAAAACACAAAACTAAGCAGTGTCAATTCTCAATTCACTATAAAGAAAGCAGTGATTACTGATAACTCATGATGAATTCATAATGTTTGTGCCCCCTAAAGTAAAGTGATGAACCAGTCACATTTTATTACTCATTAAATACTGATCCTTCATGATGAATTCATAATGTTTGTGCCCCCTAAAGTAACGTGATGAGCGAATCACACTTTATTACTGATTATATACTACTTCTTCATGATGAGTTCATAATGTTTGTGCACCCTAAAGTAAAGCGATGAACCAGTCACACTTTATTACTGATTAAAAGCTAATAAAATAGCAGGGGTTAATCATTTTACTTACCAAAATGACAGTCATTCTTTTGCCCTCTCAAGAACAGTGATGAAGGATAAGTAG